TTGAGTCCATTTATCTTTATGGCATTTTTGCCGTCGTCTTCAAACTGATAAAGAAATACGTAAAATTTCTAAACCTATAAACTATTCCGTGACCAGCAAGTGACTAATCCACATTCCTTCGACACTCCTTCCACGAGTCACGGCCTCAACAAAGTGGTGCTGTTTTCAAGATGACATTTAACAAAGAATAACATCAACAATTGCACAAAGAAACTTGAACTAACTCATGTACTACAAAACTATCTAACATTTTACTCTTTTTGTATTCTCTCTTCGAGGAACAACAATGATGTGCAATTAGGTTTCAAATTTCCTCTAAACACAACCCAGACTTCGAAGCGACAGTATTAGTACCAGAAGATTCGCATGTCTAGCAGAGGATTGCTCTCCTGCCGAACCAACGCTGTGTGCAATCTGACAGTAAAATAGGTATCTTAAACTTGTTGGTAACGCAATTCACAGTATTTTTAATTAATTCATTGAAAAGGAATTTACAGTATTTTCTAAAGAGATCTACACCAAATTTGTTTGAAATGTCATTTCTCTCTCAATACAGAAAGATTGCCAACAAACAAAGTTAAATGACTAAATTGACCGTCATGCATCACGATTTAATTTTTTTTTGACATCCAAAATATTATAACACACAGATTGTGATTCCAGTTATTTGAAATACAAAGAAAATATTATATTTTTGAGGAAACGTGAAGAGAAGCCGTCTAGCACAACACATTTCAAACTAATTTTACAAACATTGTCAATTTCTTTACATTTGAAGCGCTTGGGACAAAAACAAAATAAGCCGCACCTGACATATCAAGCCAGCTCCCCTTTCTATTAGCAAATATAAATATTCCGATTTTGGAGAAAGTGTGGTTATCTTGTTACTGTATGTGATAGACGTTATAGACGCAGGAAGATCTACCACGGAATACTTCAACAACTCAACTGTCATAATAATTGCTTTTACAATCTTTATTATTTTTGTATAAAATACGTTGCACGTTTACTTTGAAAGTAAAAACAAACATCATAGCAACGTCTTGATTCTTCGAACGTCACGAGTTCTATTCCCGACGAAAACAAATTGATTTATGGGTTAGAGAAAATCGTTAGCGCGATTACTTGAAAGAAATGAAGTATTTTTTATCGGGTCCTTACGAATTTGAACAACAAAGTTGTTGTCGATCAAGTCTGTGGGACGTGTTACGCATGAGATTTTAGACCTGTGCCTGTGACAAAACTAACACTAATAGAACCTACGTTGGCAATTTTAGCACCTGAAATATTCTGTCCGCAAACTGTCTTGAAGCAAATACACTTTGAAATATTTGAATTTAATATAAAACTAATTTCTGTTCCTTGGTTCAGTAACATTTTGACGGATTTTCGGGAATGTTTAGTTTCCATTAAGCATTAAACATTTTAGATAAACGGTAACAATTGTTTACGGTAGACCTTGGCCGTATCGTGTATCGTATCGATTCTGCAGAAGAAATTGATATTCACATTACTGCAGAATACTGGGAACGCTTTGAAAATGAACACATGCTTAAGACATACTATTTTTAGGTTACCTGAAGTCATTAGAAGCAACAAAATCGTAGTCATAGATCTACCTTTCTGTTGATATATTTTTCACTGCTGCTTTCTTATTCATTTCTCCAATTTTACGTTTTACTTGATGTGCAGAAATGCTTGATTTCTTCGTGAGTTCAAAACCTTTTAACTGTGCGAGTCGGCAAATGCAAAACCACTCAAACAAGAGGTTCCAGAAGACATTCAACACAACATAACATTAAGTTACGATGGTTTAACTTCTCAAAAAATATTTAGCAATGTCTGTAAACATTTCACATTCAAAATTTCGAGTAGTTTTCATTATATCACAGACCGGAATGAATTTCACATCATTCCCGAAGGTGGAGAATTATTGTAACTTTACTTCACATAAATACAAAATCTTCGTAAAAATCTAATTAAAAAAGGTTTGCGTAATGAAAATACACAAAGAAATTTGCACAACTTTACAACCTAGAAAAACATTCCGAGACAATCAATAAGCACTGATGAAAGTCGGATGTCCAATGATAACGAAATAAACAGCAAATCGTATTCGTTTTTGCTTTCCGTTAAACCAGAGATTAGAATCTAGAAGTACGAGTCTAAATATTGAGCTGTCTTCAAACTTTCTGCCATTCATTAGGTAGCATCACGCACATGCTTCGATGAAGACGAAGCTACAAGTGCAAAAGCCAAATGAAACGAAAAGCATTCAGTGGTAAACAGCATGTGCATTTGGTGCAGCGGTTACGCAACAATGGAAAGCAGCGCAGACCGCAGCAGAACAGCATCCAGCGCTGCAGTTCGATGACGGAAGAAGCCCCTCTGATGTCTGAATCCGCGGGCATGCGCGCTTACGGGCGACCCAAGGATCGGATAAACAAGTTGGCGCCCTAAGCAATAAACATTCAGGGAGGTCGCTCCCATGTGTAACAAAGAAAAATAATAATAATAATAATAATAATAATAATAATAATAATAAAGTAAATCGAACAACACGTGATTACCCAGTAAAATTTGCAAAACGGCAAACGCACGCATGCAGTGCAGTGAGGGGGAGCGACTGTATATGTAGTGTCCAGCCGACTGCATTTTCATAAATAATTTTTCATTGTGTTGAATTTACGATTAATTTTTGTTTTATTATAGTAATTATTTACATTGTATTCAATCGGGGCAACTTTCATTAGTATAAAGAAGTATACACATTTTGTTGTTGGTTAAATTATCCAATTGAATTGAATGGTGGCAATTATGGTGCTTTATTTGGAGTGAATTTGCATTTTAAAAAAACCACTTAAAGGATTTTCAAAATATTTTTCCTTCAAAAATCAAGCTGCAGAGTAGAGCAGTTGCCGAGAGTATTCAAGTTACGAAAAATGTAGTCCATTCTTAAATATTCTTCCTAAACATAAATATCAATCTTCAAAATATATTAACAATTATTTTCCACAAACAACCCTCAGCTTAAAACAATAGTATTGAATTAAATAAGTTTATTTGTCAGTTATTTGGTTCGCATGTTGTCAATGTACTAGATGATATTTCTCGGTTTTCTACATTTTCTCTTTCACTTGGCAAGGGTTCAGTTTGTGTGCGCGTTGTTCTAGCAGGGATGCCCAGAGAAAACAAAGGTCTGGGAGAGTAGGTTCACAGGGAGAGGGGCTTTTTTCGAATTAAATGTCCGCTTCTCTCCATAGATAAACAATACATTTCTCCGTCGAACAAAAATAACTTACAGCGGCTAATTTGAATTGGACGAAATGCAAGTTATTTGTTTACAATGGAAATAAATCCAGGTCCAGATGAAGTCTGAGCCTGAGGGCAAGAACCCCGTTCCCTAGTACTGCACTTGGCGAAGCCCAGCTGGGGCTCCACAGGCTCCTGCGACCTGATCCGGTCTCTGGAGCGTGTGACGCGCATCACCGAATCCAGCAAGGGAAAGGTTGGGCTGGCCTAATGACAAGGCCTGCGGCTTACATGTGTCACGATTCATTTCTGCTGGCATTCCCCCAGAATGTTTTGCCAAGAAGTGACATGATGAAGGGAAGGGCACGAATGAGAAGAGTGGGGGAGGGGGAAACGAACCGGTAGGTGGCAAAGAAGGGGGTGAAAAGGAGTATGGGAGGGAGGAAAGACGAGAAGCGGGCGGGCGGGTAACTTACAGGAGGGGGAAAAGAGGGGAGTCGCTCGACAGGACACGGAGAAAGAAAGCGGGGAGACCAGAGTAGTGTAGTATAGTAGTAGTAGCGGCAGCAGCGGCATCGCGGTGGGAGAACGCTGCGATATCCGTGAATGGGAGGGGAGAGCAGTTATGGAAGAGGTAGCACATTGAACGCGAAACAGCTGAGCTACGGAATGCAATAAAAAGTCGGAATCACGGTAATCGACTGTTCGTCATACCAGTTCCGAAACAAAGTCGACACAAAGAAAGATAAAACAGATTCTTTCCTTTTGTATACTTTCATTGTTAAGTAACAATTTCGAAATATGTCCACATCAATGTTGTTAAAGGGCAATAGCAGAATTGTCAGAAGGAAACCAAGCTTATTCAATTGTCTAAATAAAAGTATAATACAATATAAAATATAAAACTCTAAATACTTATTTTGAGTTAGTGTAAATATAAAGTTCCCTCAAATTCTAGAATACAATAATATATACAATCATACAAAACTGCTTGGAAGGGGTTAAATCAATGGTTTTCATCAACAGGGCTTTTCCCCAAACATATACTTATGATTAGAGATTCAAAAACAATCAAATATTGTACCAAAAGAAAAGTATATAATATTGCATTCTCTTTCACTTTTGAGTTCTTTAAAGTTTGAGAATATAAGTAAATCTTGCAGCAATGTGTATCCCAGAACTGTTTATGGAGACCAATAACGATTTGATTTCTCACAATAGTGAGAAAGATTAATCTTCATTAGACAAAGAAAATTTATGGAACATTTAGACTTACCAATAAATCCACTGCAATTCTATGTTGCATTACTACACAAACAAAAAATTCTTGAGCTTTAAAGTACCTAACCAAAAATAAGAATGAAAAGTACTGAAACAGTTCAAGAACAACCATTTAACAGACTAATTTTGAAACATGCTGTCCTTTAACTTTCAAGGGCGAAAAAAGACACAATAAGTCATTCAACTTCACCAGTGCAATATTCACGAAGAAATTATGAACTGGAGAGTAAAATCAAGACACTTCACACGTTGGAAAACCTAACAGAATTTCGACAGCATTCACTCACACCAGTTCCACACCATACTAAAACTTCACTCCTACTATCAGAACTTCTTTCAAATCGCAGTGCGCAGAAATGTTCACCTATTACAGTATAGAATTACTTCCAAATACCCGGAAATACACACTTATATGCATACATCAAACAATGTGATGAAAATTACACTGTTGGTCCCGCGGGTCCTACCTGTTTATCGTCACACTTGGCGGTTGTGGTATTGACTTCTGAATCCTCTGTATTTCCTACGTTCACTTTAGAGGCTTCTAACGAACTGTTCTCACCACTTTTATTACAACTTTTGTCAGGTGCCTTGGGTTCGTTGCCTTGTTCAGGCCATGGTGCCATCTTGAATGTCAGGGGCTGTTGCTGATTGGCTTAGCGTAAAACATGCTTCCTCACGCATGCGTGGGATAATTTAAGAAAGCCTCATAACTAACATCTTTTATCATTATATTAAACAAAATAATGACCAATGTAGAATACTATAAATGTTCAATATTAGATGCTATACCACCGTAAGAGGAGGAAGTACATGATTTTAAGGATTGTCTCTCGTAAGAAATTCAAAGATCGTCAGAAGGAAAGAGCACACACCATTCGTCTGCCAATATGTCATGATTGATTTTGCAAGGTCAGAACGGATGTCAAAAACATTTTGGAATGCAGATACCGTTTAACATTCCTTGTATTCCGCTGCTACACAAACTGAACAACTGCTAACCACAATCTCACTATTTAACTACTTATCTTAAAAGACATTCCAATGCTCTGCATTCCTTACTTCAACACTTGGATCTTGCAGTCTATTACAATTTTTATTATTTAAGTATGGTTTGTGACAATTATTTAATTTTTTCCCCCTCCGGTGTTAATGATCTATCTATTCTGGTAGGGGAAGAAAGAAAAGGTACAACTGTGCATTAATATATTTTATTAGCAGCATAAAAATATAAAACAACAGACAAATATTTTTCTATGTTTTAATACTCTTTCAAAGAACAGCTGAGTCACATGTGTAAATACTATTTACAAGTAAAATGTACTCAAAATAAAACAGTTTTGCAAATAAATATTCCAAATAATTTTGATATATACAACAAAAAAGGTAAACGCCACTGTAAGTACACACCAGCACAGTGCCTGAAACTATCTTTAGCTTTTAACGTTCTTCTTCCATTACAGGTTGAAACAGTAAACATAGAAGTTGCTGAGCATAATCATGTTCTTCCTGGAACAAAAACAATTTGAATATATTACTTCATATTACAACATACACCTAAAGAGAATATGAATATGTCTTTCAGGAGTTCTTATTAGTAGAGTAAATGGCAACTACTCACTCGATACCAAAAACCCAACAAAAATTCAATCATTATCTTTTGACCTTTTATCCATTTTTTTATTATTAAAACATTCAATATTTTTCATAAGTACATAGATTCAACATAAAAGTAATAGTTAATTTCTATCTGTATGGACAATTCCATGAAATGTTTTCCTAAATTGGTAACAATCTTCACCATTTTATCTCTTGGGGGCAGGTTTATATTTAAATTGGGTCTCAATCCCCTATTTCTTCACAGAAAAGGAAACAAAATACATCACAAATATCGGTGGAATTCTTACTTCTATTGGGAAAAGTAACTACCCCAAACATACCCTATTCTTAACTGTTTATGATCATGGTAGGAATTCTTGTTCACAAGCAGACATCAACAGCATTAAATGTCTCCTCCTTCAATTATTGCAATATAACAAACAACAAAAACTTTTCTATTGTGAATATATTCTGATGAACAATATTTCAAATAATTTTGTAACAAACTTTGAATCAAATTTGGAACCATTTAATTTAATTTTTTTTCTTCTTTTTTTTTTTCATTTAAGTTTAAAATTAGTCCAAAATCAACAATTGTAATTTCTGTAGTTAACTTTAAAAATTATACAAATTTGCCTCAGCTTTTCCCCCTTTGCACTGCCCTTCCCCTCAGATTTATATGCCTCGGCGTTCTTTCAGCAGTACTTCAATTCAAAAATTATGGAAGGACTAGGAATGAGATCACCAAATTTCAACACAATATCAGGATACACACTAGAATAATCTGTAAATAGAAGAATGTTACATACATTCTGCAAACAACTCCATTTTCAGTCACTCTAGTACAGTGTACAAACCCGACACATTCGTGTCTCAGAGACGACAAAAAAAAAAAAAACACCACACACACACACACAACTGTGAGACAACTTTGACATCTGTGAGATGTCAAAAAAAGGCAATTGGGTTAAGTAGAACATTAGATACAAATTTTTGGAATTTAGATCTGCTGAAATGCACCTTTCAGTATCTTACTAACACTTACAATGTTACAAAAATTTATCTTCGAGATATAGATAATATAATATATATTATAATAAATATAAGAAAATATGTTTACACACATTGAAAAACTACTCAGAAATATAATATACGTAATACAGATAGTTACTAAGTTGTTATATTCAAAATTAATTTCGATCTCTGTGACCTACAAAACAGTATTTTGTTTTATTTAAAAATTGTACTACACATAAATGAATTAAAAAAAATAAAGCATCTGGTTTTGCCGTAGAACAGGGAACGTGCCAATTCATTCCTGGTGGCAAGGCAAAGTAATTTTATGTAACAAGACCAACTGAAATTGTTTTTGTTAGTATCCATTCTATGGAGGCCAAATGGCTCAAGTGGGAAAAAAGTGATTCACTACATAAGTGCAATAAATTTGTGTTGTTAATTTCAATCAAACAATAACCTTACAATTGCTGTTAGTCACTATAATGATTCTACCAAATTTATCTGACAACTAAAACATCCTTTATACTCCCGTTACCCATTCTATTTTTATACCTTATCTCTGAAATTATATGATTGCACTTTTGTAAGTTATGTAAATTGAATCTAAATGAGGCTCATCCTCATTCAATCAAGTTTCCAACAGTAAATGAAAGCATATACAAAACAAATTTGAAACAAAATTCCTAGAAAGAAAAAACAATAATAAACAATTCTGCTTAACAATGGATATTTTACATAAGGTAAGAAATTCCCTCTCCAAGAGATCATTTTTCCTATTATATAATGTCACAGCTTCCTAAATTCATAATGTTGAGTCAAAATCAAGTATTCACACTGAAATAAAACTAGGATGATTCATAAAATCATTAACAAGAGGAAAAGCTCCACATTGATTGGAATATTTGGAACTTGTAAAACAGGTTTGTTGATTACTTCACGCCTATCCGATGTTCAAACTAACATTTGCACTGATGTTCTAGACATATTTTTCAAGTACTGAAGAGACATTAAAAGTAGTATCATACAATAAGAAGGTACATTGGAAGGAGGTGTGTGTGAGTTACAAGCCCATTCCCCCCCTCCCAATCATTCAAACCATAAAATGATCAATGATAATCATACAACAGAAACTCAGAAGTATTATGATTCATAAAAAAAATAATTTACATACAGAAAAAAGTGAAGAAAAAATTAAGTTTAAAGAGTTCAGAAATATTCAAAGATCCATTAGGTGGTTTGGTTTTATTCACTACATCGAAGCCTGATCAATGCTGATTTATTAGGAACACTATTTTTAAACAACATTTATTACATGAAGGTAAACAGTAAGAGAAAGAGATAAAAGTAGTACATTCAGTGCTCTGAACAGTAAATTAGAGGTACACACCATATACTCATCCTTCCCACTAGTGTTGCGCACAAGATTAGCGAGTGTGTCCTGAAGATTCAACTCAGGTCTTCTGCATTCACTTTGTGATTTGGGGTGATTGCTGACCAGATTGAGGAGAGCAGAGAGAAGATGTTCAAGAACAGGCTGGTGGAAGTCCGTAACCATTCCAGCCAGCTGCACAACAAATCCCATTTCACATAACTCATCTGTAAAAAATAAAGCAATACTCAGCTGTGTATTATCTTTCAAATAAATAATAATAAGAAACAGTGTAGATGTAAATGAAATAGTTATTGTTTAACTTTAAATTCCTCTTGAGAGTGAACTGAATTAATTGCAATTTAAAAAAATTCTAATCAGAAAATAATAAACAAAGAACAGTATGTGGTAATCATGCCTAAATAAAAATAAAAAGATGAAGATTTTGTTTGACTTTCTCACAATAGTTTTCCTCATTGTGATAAAAACCCACATGTAGTAATGCATCTTAAGTTTCCTCAAATCAAAGGAAACATTATGAGCTATTAGTGTAACTCCATGAATGCTACCTTGTTTTTCATACAGCTTGAGGTATTAAACAGAATTTGTAGAGTTCCGACATTTATATTATTTCTTATATAATAATTAAAAAATTATAACAATTATTTTGCAATAAAGAAAAAGAGATCCTCTCAATTTAAGTAAAAAAATGATCTCAAATTGCCAACACATTTACAACAAAAGCACAGAGTTTGGTTTAATTAAAAACCATGGTAGTTGCGATCATCAGTTCAAATATCTTTTTAGCCAAATTAGAAATTTGGTGCTTTTTAACGCAATTAAAAGTGAGCGATGATGATGATGATGATGATGATAATAATAAATAATAATAATAATAATAATAATAATAATAATAATAATAATAATAATAATAATATTTTGTTGACTCGCATATTCAAATATAATCATGTTTGATGAGTCAATATGTCGTCTTGGGTGCAGAGAGTGAAGTTACACTTCTCAGAGGACAATCATTTACAAGAATTCATAAAAGAAACAGAAATTCTTATTCGCAGACATAATTAAGTATAAATAGAGACATATATGTTACTGGATGTGGGGCTCCAATGCCCACAATTTGGTTTCTATTGAGTGTCAGATAATTTTCTAAAATAATAGATTGAATTATTATTTACATTTTTAATCATTTTAAACAAAGACCACTTTATAAAAAACATCAAACTTTCAACTTCCTAAAAAAATTGAAACTCATTAAAAACAATCAATCAATAATTGGAGCAGTTCCAATCCCTTACCCAGTACTGCTAAGGTAAAATGAAAATAATTGATTTTATACTGAGACAATTGATAAGCAAATGAACAACTCACTAAGAAAAAGAAAACTTCCTTTTATTTATTTCTAGAATGCTAAGAATTATTCTCAAAGTCATTCTCTACTATTCTGTCTGATCATCTTTAACAGTGAGTTTGCCAACAAAATCCAAACAGTAATAGTCTCTTCAGATACACAACTATTTACAAACCAATTCCAAAAACTTTTCAATCAAAGAAACTCATTTGGTTTGGTTATCATATTAAATCTTTATACCTGGTCGAAAAACTGAGATGTGATAAAAATAGTTATCAATAGCGATCCTGATACAAATTCAATCTTTCAACTCTAAACCGCATTCTACTTAAGAACTGCAGAAAAATTTCTCACATTTATCTAAAATTTAATGTTATACAATATTGTTTTGTTCCTTCTATTTAGAATTTTGGATGAAAGAATGTAATTGTCCCGTTTGTCTTCCGAACATGACTATTTCAACATGTCTCATATTCTGAAATTTGCTGTGTTCTTAATGGCCAGAAATAAAAGTATTTCAGAGGCGACACTAAGCACAAGTTATTCCAGAAAGGCAAAGAATTTTAAAAGATTCAACCCCAACTTCACTTGTGTACCCTTCATACAAGTCATCCAAAGTCAGTTGATGCATTTGGTACCAATCAAAAGTTCTCCAAAAACTATTAACAAATTTCCCAAACTTTTAAATTTCAGTATTTCTCTCTGACAAGAATAAAATAATATGGTGTCTAAAATATAAGGTGAATAAAAAACTGTGTATAAGGAAAACTGAATATAAACTAATGGAAATTCTTAAAAATTTGTAGAAACCTGCATATTCGGGCACTAAGAAACTTAGTTTACATATGTTTTAAAAATGTCAAAATCTTGACTTGTTGTTTAAAATGTTTATTTGTTGAAAAACAAAACAAAACAACCAAATATTAGTGGGTTACCAGACTGGTATAAGGGACATTTTATAAAGTCTGAGAAAAATGTATATTTAAATCAATTTCATGGAATGGTCATGGTATGTTGTTTCATTATTAACATCATGGTATTTCAGCTGTTCATTATAACCACGAAAATACATTGCAATTGAAATATTGCCTAAAATACACACAGTTTTCTTAGGATTTATAAAATGTCACTTACATTATTCTGGTTTTCATCCATTCGTATGTTGGTTTTATCCATGAAGATTATAAATTTCAAATACTAAGATGATCACTACAACACCATGTCCATCTTCATGTAATTCAAGAAAATTTTAAATAAAAAGTGCCTTTTAAGATAAGATTAAAATTTTTGAAGTAACTTCTTCCCAGCAGATGCCATGTCCCACATAATATAACACACCATCTTCCTAACAGCCAAGACAATGCACAAGCCTTTATCTATAAGAAATTTTAAGCCCAAAGTATAATTTAAGATTCTCAAACAAAAGCCCTGAGGCAGTAAATAAGTAAGGTCCCCTTATTTCAAACAAAATATTCCCCATTTCATATGTATTTGGCAGTTTAAAGATATGGTGTGTGGGTAAAGAGAGAACTCATTTTTTGTGAAAATGGAGTTAAGGAAGTTACATATGACAAAATCGGCCACTACATCGCAAATTTATTAATAAAATGCAATGGATTAAATGTTTTAGTAATATTCTCTGACTTACAATGATGGCACAAAATTGTATTTCTACTTTCATAGTAGTACTGGTGGTAGCAATAAGTATATCACATGCAATCCTTGGTGATCCTTTACAGAGGAGATTCAAGACAGTTGGTTGTCAGCCTCCTCTTCAATATATCTTTTCCTGACTGCTGTCATTTCCTTGAGTTTTTTTTTTTTTTTTCACTCTATTCTGTCTCTGGTCATATTCATTGCTTCTATCCATGTCAAATTGGTTACTTTTTCTCTCCAAGCAATTTTATTCTATCTTCCACTTTCGTATACACACTTTTATGGCTTGCTTTCTCTATTCAAAAACCATCAATACATACTTTTATTTAAAATTATACTTTACAGTTATTTAAGCATCTTTTTACTATTTAAAAAAATTACAGGATACCTACTGACCAAATACTTGAAACAATTCTTTTTAAATACACATTATTTTATCTTTAAAACACATATTAAAAATTTAGTTTTTAGTTCAGTAATGAAACTTTAATCTTGTTCCACACTTTTATTTGAACAAATTCACCTATGATTTCAACAAATTTTATTTCGTTTGAATATCCAATTTGTGCCTGCACTCCATTGGTATGACCAGTTCTCATATCGTATTGAGTGCTGACACTTATCCCACAAACTGTCACAGAAGTACCAGATTGATATAAGCAGTTTTACTCAGAACTTACTTTTAACCTGCTGTTATTGACACTTCCTTATAACAACATCTCTTTTCCTAGTTATTATTATATAATGAGGTGCACAAAAATCTTAGAAATTTTTTATTTCCATTGAGAAACATTTTGTAATGTTTTAACACACTGAAATGTGAAGCTGCGTATTTTCACATCTTTTTTGAATTTTAAATATTTTGTCAATTACAATCAATTAATGTGTTTAAGTGTAAATAATACTAACTGTGACTTTCATACAAGTCATTCAAATCTGTATATTATTTAAATGATTTTTGAATTATTGGGAGGCCAAGTGCTGTAAATTATCTGTGAAAAGTGAGTTATATACTGTCACATAAGGTTAAAAAACACAAAAATGTGGCCACTGAATAAGTGGAAATGTGGCAGGTGCTACAATATAAATTTCATCAAATAAAAAATTTATCTAGAAATAAAATAAAATCTTTCAGTTTTGAAAGTAATTTTCTCAGAACTAGCTATGTGTCTCCTATCCCCCTTGGCCTTTCAGTGCATCATTTATGAGTGTGTAAAAAGAATGAAAATAGAAAATCATTTAACATTATATGAATAAACCTGCACAGAATTGAAATAATAGTTTAACGAACAAAAACTTCTATTAATTTGCTTTGAGCAGAAAGACTGATTTACATTTTGCTTAGAAGAATCTTCCAAGGCTTAATGTTCTTTCTCAAGTTGTACATGAACAATATGGGATAAATTGCTTTACAGCACTTCCCTATTACAGCAAAACATCTGAATTTTCCACCCTACAATATTAAAAAATATCAGTCCGATGGAATTTGCATACACAAGCATATTGGCCTTCACACTTATTGTAATACAAACCAAAACAAATCGTGAGGATGATGATAATTTAGTCAAATTCAATGATGCAATAAGCCTGACCTTCAACATCTGAATGATGTAAAATGCATGATGTGTGTCAAACGGTAAAAAATTAAAGATGGCCATTAACACATAAAAAACGAAGAAAATAAATAGAAATTTAAATCTTTAAAGTGTCATTGGTATTGTTATTATTATCATTATATATCAAAGACAACTTTACCAATATAGAAAATGTTTACATCTTAAGAAAGTACAAATGCATATATCATGGGAACAATGTAGATGGAATTGATTTTATATTAATAAGGTTTATTAATTTAATGCATTTTTAAGTACCTCTTACACACACAACAAGACATGTCAATGAGAGCAAAGGAGCTTCAAGTATTGCATTGTGGAGGTATCCCCATATGACTAAAGAATGGCTTCTAGGGCTTGCTGTTATGCTTTTTGCCCTTACGTTATTATTAACAGTGTTGGATAGATTTACTATTTTGGAAAATAAAAATTGTTAAACTCCACTCACAGTTACAGCCAATATACATTTGCCAAGTATGCACAAGAGGGGACTGTCTCACTCATATTTTAGTTCACAATATATATTTGTAATATAATGCTTGTTACATTAATTTAAACTAAATTCAATTTTATAATCACCATTTGCCATTTTCTCATTCTAGAGATTCAATTGATGTAATAAAGTGAGTAGCGGAATCAGATAAGCAAATCAGCCACCCATGGAGAAAATAATGTTATGTTGAAAATTGTAATTGAAGTGTAAAAATTATAAGTTTTTCGAAGGGGAGGGAGGAGGCGAACATGTTTCTTAGCTTCTTATACACGTTTAAATTTTTTTTACCCCATTACACCCATGAATATTGACTTTAATTATCCTTGTACAGACAATGATAACTTTTTTAGGTGTTTATGTCCAATTTTGACTCTAACAATTAACAAAAAGGGAAAAACAGTTTCTCTTTTTTTAAAGAGTATCTCATGTTCTGATGCAGATGATAAAAAGGACTCAATACAATTTTTAGCCCTGTAAATTCTCTATATTTTCCCAAAACTTCAATCTTTCATCTCAAAATTTGCACTCAACAGCTCAATATAAGTAAAACAGTAATTTAATAGTTTCTTATTTATTTTCCTAAAAATAGGTTTTGCTTTATAAATTGTCACACTTTTTCTTAGTTTCAAGGTTTATTAGAAAAGATAAATAATGAAAAACAAAACTGTAAGAATAATATTATAACGTACTGTAATTTGAATATTGAACAACTTAAGATTTTAACTAAAAAAAATGTGTTTTTATACTTCATCCACCTTCGTTCCATTAATGATTTAATAATAACACTAACTCTTGTTTCTCTACTTGGCACATGCATGAAAATGCTTTGAAATTATGCAATTGTTCAATAAACAATAGTTTTTGATTTAAGTGTGTACCAGAACTGCAATTTCCTTTTGATATCAAAAAGGTCCTTGCTACAAAAAGCATCAGAAGGAACATAAATTAGTTCAGTGTTTGCAAAGCGCAATAAACATAATTTTCATTTGCAACGGTTCTCTGAAAAGGCGTTTCAGTTAATTCTATTTTCAGATCTCTCTAGCCTGTACTGTCTAAGATGGATCATCACAACTTGATTGAGGTAATGGTTCTGATATTGATAAGAGATTCTGGCAATTCAGCTTCTTACAGCTTTCTGAATCTTGCAACATGGATGTAGATGATAAAAAAAAAAATCTATGGCATTTAATGTGTTGGGCCTAGATGTGGCTTGCGTGACATTCTGTTGCAAATGGGGATGGCAGACTTTTTGAATCTTAAACCAGATAGTACGAGTATAAAATATTGTGCCTGTGATGCAGAAACTGTACATTGCGATGTACAACCAAAATCTGCTGCCTAAATCAAAAACATGGCTGAGTGCATCATGTAGTGACTACTCAACGTATTTTTTACATTATAAATAATATTTAACATTTTGAAACCTTGTTCTATTTTGTTTATAAACTCCTTAATTTTTGTGAAAATCATAATTCGTCCAATATTAAAATTACAATAGGTTGTAATATTATTCTTACAATTTTGTTTTCATAATTAATCTTTTTTAAGAAACACAAAAAAGAAAAACTGTGACAATCAATAAAAGAAATCCAAATTTTAAGAAAATAAATACGAAACAATTAAAATACTGTTTTACTTATAATAAGCTGTCATATGCAAATTATAAGATTAAACGGTTGCAATTTTGGGAAACTACAGGGAAATTACAGGGCTACAAATTGTATTTAGTCCTTTGAATCAACTCAGTCAGAACATGAGATATTCATAAAAAAAAAAGGAAATTGTTTCCCCTTATTTTTCCTTCTTTTTTATTGATTGTATGAGTAAAAACCACACCTGAAAATATTTTTGAAACATCAGTATTGTCTCTACAAAATCACAAGTATTATTGAAGTCATAATTCATGGGTGGAATGTGGTGAAAAAAAAAATTGAACTTAAACAAGAAATTAAAAAAACACATTTTTTCATTTCCAAGAAGTACTCTGTGTAAATTGATTTAAATCCAGCGAAAAAAATTTTTTTTACATTTTAATAATGATATTCAACATAAAAAAATGTATCTCTGGGGGAAGATTTGCATATCTTAATCCACTACCCCCTTTGCTAAAACAATTAAGTAACAAATTTACATTTAACATGAAATCGATAATATTATTTGTTAAAAATATGTTTATTTACAACCAAATGTAATGTTAGAAACCTTTATTACTTTGTTTCTGTAACACAAGTCAATAGGATCTGCATCAAGCTGTTTCTCAAAATCTCTCATTGAAGGAAGATATGACCATACAAGAGTATGAACATTGATAATGTAGGCATCAGTTGTGACTTAGGGCCAAATTCACAGCACCTGTTCTGTAAGTACTTATAATTGATTCTTAGTCATTCTAATTTTCAAATAAGTGTGCAATGATTGACCAATCATTCCTATACAGGTCAGCTGCTCCTTTAAATGTTTACTACTCCGTCTCCCCTTCATCACCAGGTAATGTTCTTACATTTATAGTTTTTAAAATGATGAAAATGACTTTGTAAAATATTATGGGTTCTAAATCCAAACATTTTTGTGCCATGAAAAGATACATCCGAGACACTGAAATTCATTGGAAACGTACAATAATAAACTATTTTTAAAAGTGCAAGAGTTGAAATGGAAGCTGTTTGGAAAGAACAATTGTATACACGCAACTGCAAAACCGGTGGTCCACAGGGAAAGTTGTCACATTTTCAATCACTTAAGGAAGAACACATTGGTATCCAATGAGAACTCACGATGTACCTCATGAGGAACATTTAAAAATACTTTTCACTATGAGAGTCCACTTAGAGTAAGCCAGCACTTATGCTATAAGTGCTAACTATACATTCAGCCCTAAATCCAGGAAATGAAATGTGTGGCACTTACCACGCTTGCGCACCAGGGTGCAAATTTGTCAGGTTGAAGGAAGGACAATGGGTACATCCACTAGCTGCCCATGAGTTTATAAAATTTACTAATTGTTAGTTTGCATTGATCAGATTAGGTCATCACAAAGTATTCGACAGTATTGTATGACACTTGCTAATTTCCATTTTCCACAATTTCCATTCTACTCACTCTTCAAAACCATGTAATATCATCAACATGTACAGTAAATTAAAAATATATTGAACATCATTCTAACCCACCTTACATGGCAAATAAAATAAAACATCCAATATTACCTAACATCCTAACCAAATATAAACATTTCTACTACAAGATATTACTAGTAAATTATGAACCAGTGGTCTTTTATCTAAGAAGTAGTTGATCACATTGTAACATATAAACTGTAGCCTCACCTTTAATTTGCTCATTTTGTGAACACAAAGAGCTCAGAAGAAAAGCAGACTTAATTTTAAGTTTTTCAATGTCACTTTGCATTGCTCTCAAAATAACTGAGTAACCATTCTTCTCATTAAATTCTTTTAAAGCCTTTTTGTTTTCTCTAACTAAACCTGAAACATGAAATACATTCATATATTAAAATCTAATCGAAGTTAAGTTGTTTCTCATAAACAACATGAATACTTACAGGATATGGCATATAATGCTTTCACTTTAACTTGCTCATTTGGATCGTTGTCAACAAGAGAGGACAAAACTGGTAGCAGTTGTGCTTCAAGAATTCTCTCTTGACAATATGGATTGTTCTGTGTCAATTCAGCAATAATTTCTGCAGCTCTCCACCGTAAACTGCTGTGGGCAGAACCCAAACAAGGACGAAATATACAAAAACCTCCTATTTTGTGGAAATCTGGAAGAAAAGATCAAGAGTAAAAAAAAAAAATCACTCTATTCACAGAAATTTATTCAGAGAATTTTTAAAAGGATGAGGTCAACTCAACCAATATTTCTTAAAACTGTACATACAATGTTATTCAATACATTTTAAGAAAGGGAATGAACAACCTCCAGAATTCATCACAAACAATTTATAATTATGCAAGAGCTTACATTAACATCTATCATTCAATGAAAATGTGACATATAAAAAACATGCTCTTAATATAATTATTATGCAAATATCTGTAATAATTAAAATAAATTTTGCAAAATTTCAAGAACATTCATATCTACTTGGAAATTAAATAAATTGTAGTATTGTAGAAATTAAATTATATTGATTACAGAATGCATTAAATACACTTTCTCAAATAAAAACATGAAACTTACCGTTGGCTGTATCCATATTGTCCACATAATCTGAAATAGTTTCAAGTGCATTCTCACAATTTGTCGGATCATCCTGCAGTTCCAGGGTTCCCGCTTCCTTCAGAACTTCGATTGCTTTCAGTAACTCCTCTACTACATCGACAGTCAAGCTCTTCAAAGTATTTTCAAGCCAATGACGTCTCTAAATTGAAGACATTGTTAATATAAAAACACGAAACGCTCACTACCTACTCTTCCAAGGTACTGTACTTACTTCTTCATCCATTGGCATAAACATACGATTAGGGTCGTGTTGACTTCCCGCAGCTTCGGCAGTAAACCTTAATAGGTCCTGTAAATTCGTAGGCTGTCTAGGTTGATTAGGATTAACTGTTACGTTATGTTCCTCATACCCAATTGCTGGTATATTATTTGCATTGTTTGCTCCAGTCGATTGTCCTTCACCTCCGCCTGATGCCGACATGATGGTCTTACTTCGACTTCCCTTAGAATTTTTGAGAATGACAAAAACTCAGTTCACCTGAACGCATCCAACAAAACTAACAAACACCCTTCTCAACTTTCGAATTCTCACTCTGAGATGGTCGCCGACAATATATCTACCAACGCGTCCGTTTAGCACGCTGTCTGACACTGACAAAACGAAGTGCGAGTGCTCTGAGACTGTCAACTTTGAGCACGTCCTGGACAACAGTAACACCAGCGCGGTTTAATGTATTCGGATTTCCACCCCCGCCCACAGAAAGCACATTGGAAGACCATGAGAAACATCGAGAAGACACTAGAAAACAGCAGAACCTACGAGAAAGCTGTTTTCAAGTGAGTGATACAAATAACCAAGAACATCAGCGAACCCTAGCGTCTGTGACTGAAAATAAATGACAACGGACGACCAACGATTAAATGTATGATCATGGCGGGAAGAACAAGCGTGTTTTTACATATTCAATGCATTAAATCTATTTAATGAATATTTATTACAATTATTGACTGCGTAAGGGTAGTGCGAGTTCGCCAGATCCAAAATTTCTAAGTTTGAGAAACGGTGTAAATTGGCTATTGATTCGAGTTAAAACGCGGTGGGAAAAATGTCCACACCATTGTAACTGTTATCAAGGATGACCATTGCTTGGATGAGAATTCTAGAGATCATTTCTGAGGTAACCTTTCGTCAGTTTCAGACGGGTGCCGGGGCAGATTCCAAAACAACAGGGCACGGGCCGTGCACGATTCGTCTTTCCTTATTTTGTATCATTTCGATCTTTAGAGCACAATTAAATTACACGCGTTGACTCAATAGGATAAAAGACATGTCTTCCGGTCTGGTTTGCGCTTTCACTCGACTTCCCCGTTGAGACACGTCCAGAGTGGCTTCAAGAATACTCTTTTGAAATTAAACACTTCCACTGGTCATCAAAATAATGATATGTGGAAGACATGAGCATTATTGAACATATCTGGGATGCATGGGATATCTGGGCTGAAACGTGGTGTTTAGAAGAGATCTCCACCCCCTGGTACTTTTACGAATTTATGGACAGCCCTGAAGGGTTCATGGTGTCAGTTACCTCCAGCTGCTGCTCCTCCTCAATACTTCAGAACCGCAGCAGGTAAAACGCAGCGACCGGCGGCACGGTGGGAAGGCTACAATTTTAAGCTGTTTTCTGCCAGCGGTGGCGCGTACGCCCTCCTCCGCTTCGCGTAGCGAGTTCTCTACCGCTTGCCGCAGCAGCGGCCGCCCGCTGCACGTGGGATGGTCTCCATTCAAACCAATGCTCTGCTACGAGCCGCGCTGCTCGGAAGCGCGCCGCGGGGGCGGCGTGTGCAGGGGCCCTTAGGGCAGGCACGGGCCCAGCGACAGCTGCATCGTCCGCGTACGTGCCCTCGCGTCGCCCGGGAGAGAATTTATCTTTTTTACGGGCGAATCCACTCGTTTGTGACGCCTCGACACCATCCGCGCCACCCTATCAGTTGCATACCACCCATGAGAATATGGACAGGAGACGAGGGTAGTCGCGCCGCTTTGTTCGTTAATTGCACTTGACCCACTTCCGAAGCAGCGTGCGGCGAGAAAGGAAGAGAGAACGCGGCGAGTAGCCAACCAACAGTTTCACACAGTTTCTTGTTCAATCGCTCAGTTTCTCAAATCTAATTGAATCAAAGGACGAAAATTATTTGGGAACGAGGCTTTGCGCCTCGGAGACTGAGCTCACGATGTGGGAAGTCTCAGCGGAGAAAAACAGAAAAGCGAACGACACCGAGAGCGACAGACCTGTTCCTGACGCTGGGTGAGTGAGTGAGTGATCTTTTGGAGTTTGCTGTGGCACGCTTGTCTCTTGCGAGACGCTGGGTGGGAGAGACGGTCGCAGAACACAGCGCATGCAGTTTCATGGCTACAAATATGGCAGTTCATGACGTTGAGTACTGAAGACGTTAGACTGAATCTAACGTAGACGGAAGGCAACAGCCATCACGTCAACGGATTTTGAAGCCTCCTACTGCTCCTACTTAACGCCGAAGACAGCGCGAGTGATTTGAGCCTCACTGCGCGCACCTGTGTCGACGCCGCGACGGCCGATCGGTTCCGTCGAGAAGCCCTCCCACGCACAGAGGATCGCGCCAACGGCTCCTCGCAGCAACTGTAAGCAGAAGACGCATTTTGTATCTACGGAAGACGAGTAATGCGAGATGCTGGGAACGTGTCACAACAAAAAGATTAGAGACTTTAGAAACGAACCAGAAGCGCCTCAAGAAAGAAGACCTTCGGAATGCTTGTCCATTGCAACTTGTTTTCAGGAAAGCTAAACTTCAAGCAAAAACTAATTGTAAATCCATGTAACCGTAATCATAGTAATATTTTCGGAAATAAACAATGGGCTCCCTTGAGAAACCACATTGAAGGAATTCCTGTACTTTTATTCAGTAGCGCCTGTTGAGCACACCTGATCCCCAGTCACTGGAAATCTAGTCCAGAGAGTCGAAACCCTGAAGACAGTCTCGGCTCTCGGGAGCTGATCCGTTACCGGTCTTCGTCAGTCGTCGAAGATCGGCGTGAAAAGGTAGTAACTGCGACTTGCCTGCCGAGCATGCCTGGCGCCCACCCTTTGAAAGCAATCACCAGGGGGGCTCGTTACAATATGTACCTAAAACTGTCTAAAAGTTATTAGTTTAAGAATGCCGCGCAAGCTGTACATCATTTCTTATGCTAGGTACCTTGACATCATGTCTTCCCAGAACGCATGACGTCATATGTGTGAAACGAACTACAAGGTATACGCCAAATCGTGTTGTGGGCTGATTAAACGATTTTTATGTAGTTATGTTGTTATGGAATGAAAAAAAACCATTGGTTTGTAGTACCTCGAAATACTTATACTCAACCCCAATTAAATTATTTGTTAATGTACCACGGAAAGCAGACATGCGGGAAAAAAATGGTCAGATCTAGCAAGACAGAAAAAGCGACATATTGCCTGTACATAGCCAATTTACTATTGCGAGGATCACTTTTGAGGTTGAAGCGAGCAGTGCATTTTCATTAATAATTCAGTGTGTGTGTGTGTGTGTGTGTGTGTGTGTGTGTGTACGAATGTAAAAAAATTAAGAAGGATAAAAATATTTCGCGATTTTTTAAAATAATAAAATGATATGTTATCATTTTAGATGATTCGGACGTGGTAATATCGTTAAACAGCATTTGGAACCTTCACTATTCAGAATATTGATTAAAAATTACGATTACACCGCAGTACTTGTAGTAATTCACAGCGTTTCATCAATTAAAATACACACAAAACATTTTTCTCAGAATGTACTGAAAGAATTGTCCTAAAACAATGTCAATTCATTTGACTCAATGAAATAAATTAATGAGCTTTTGGTCCCCTCTGTAAATGCCGTAGGGTGCTCAAAACACGTTTTAATTGCCCCCCCCAAAACCAAACACGTTTTTTGGAAAAATTTCTTGGGGTCTTGTGGATGGATCCACAGAAATATCATTAGTTCCCAATGAAGAGGCCCAGAGGCGTTGAATGGCACCTCTCTGCTCTCGACATTTTGCACCAATTTTTGGGTGCTATGGACCCACAAACGTGGATTTTGACAACACTTGTTGGAGGAAGTAATTTTCTACATAATAAGGGCAATAATAAACTTTTTCGGTATCTTTTTCGTTCGGTATCTACAACACGATTTTTTTCTGACGAAAAATAACAGTTTTTTGTTGCAGCATTTCATAACTTTCTCATCTATATACTAATACGTATGTAGTATGCGAGAGAGTAAAAATGATAGATAAAATTGTTAAAGTTCAAATAAAATTAGTTAAATTAATATGGATATTTGACAATTTTTTTCAGTTACCGTTCATCGATTTTTCTATGCAAGCAACACCATTTAAACACCGCGCTCTTTCAGTTTCCATTGTCATCCGCCAGGTTACTCTACATTTTTGTACTTTGAAGCAAGCGGGCCCATGCTCCATGCGTCCTTTTTATTGGTTTTGACGTAAGTGAGGGAGTTATCCGGTCCAGAGTGATCTGTCAAGTTAACAGCACTGTGTGGAGTACGTCTGTTCAGTGTCGCTTGACGGTGTAATCCTGTAGCCAGGAATCCGAATAGCCACTGGTGGCCACTAGCCACTAGCGCCTGCCGGCCGGCCGAGATCTAAGGTTTTCTAGCAAGAATATGCTGAAGTTGGCGCGGACAGTCACTCTCAATAACGGACGCCCCTTTCCTTTGCTAGGGCTGGGAACATACGAGGTACGTGAATACCCTTGACAGTCTAGAGAGCTGGTGTTAATTTGAGATGAAAACAGCGACCTCGTGGCAGTGTGGAAGACACACATTTGTTTCTGTGTTCTTTAGAAGGCGATGGTTATTATTAAACCTGGCAAAGTAGCCAAGGTCCGGTGTTCTGCGCTAAATTGAAATTGGCGCGAAAGGATGTTTTTATATTACCAAATCAATAACAAATTATTTACAATTACAAGACAGAAATATCAATATCATAATGAAAATATTCAGTTTCGAGGGACACGAAACGATTTTCTGGCATAATAATAACTATAACAACGACAATAATAATAATAATAATGATGATGATGATAATGATGATGATGATGATGATAATAATAATAATAGTAATAATAATAATGATAATAATAATAATAATAATAATAATAATAATAATAATAAAGATATTTGCATATCTGTCGTTTGTATATTTTTTTACTTTATAGAAATCTCTGAAATTTGAAATCATTCTAATGAATTAGAATTAATAGATTTTTACTGTTATTTGAGTTTTGGTCTGATTTTAGGCAAGAGATGATGAGGCAATTCAGGTAGTGAAAGATGCTATAGATTTGGGATACCGTCATATAGACACAGCAGCCGTTTATGAGAATGAGAAGGCTGTGGGCTCTGCAATTCAAGCAAAAATTCAAGAAGGCATAATTAAACGTGAAGATCTCTTTGTAACAAGCAAGGTAATATCTTTTTTTTATTTATATTTCTACCTGATGAACAATATTCTATTACAAGAAATTCTTAAGAGTTAGACAATGGAAAAAAGATGTAATCGTGCCAAATAATTATTTTAAAAATTATTTTTCAAGTAAATTTGTGAATAATTTTATGAATATACCATTAGAGGATCCAGCTCCATTATCTGAAATTAATCTTACTAGATGCTCTTTTATATTGCCTGAAGTTATTGTAAATATTACTTGAAAATTGTTCCAACTATTCAATCATTTAAAAAATGTGAAACATGATTTATGTTTGTTTTAAAATTTTAGTTATGGTGTACAAACACCAAAAAGGATTTGGTGGTTCCTGCTTTGAAACAGTCACTTTCCAATCTTCAGTTGGAGTATCTAGATCTGTATCTCATCCATTGGCCCTTTTCCTTAAAGGTAATATCTTTTTTATGGAAATTAAAAGAAAGAATTAAATTTAAACTTCTTTTGATGAAATGTACTCTTGTTTGTTTCAGGATGGGGCTGGATTTGTTCCAGTAGATTCAGAAGGAAAGGTGCAGGTGGCAGACATAGATTATGTTGATACTTGGAAGGAAATGGAGAAATGTGCTGAATTAGGCCTTGCTAAGAGTATTGGGGTATCAAATTTTACTATCCCACAGTTAACTCGTGTTCTTGAGAATGCTAAAATAGTTCCTGCCACAAATCAGGTAAATGGTTAATAATAAACTTAAGAGATTGATAACAAATTATAATAAATAATGTGATTTTGTAGACATGTCATGGAAGCTAATCATTGTGATGTATTTTATAGGTAGAGTGTCATCCTTTCCTAAATCAGAAACCCCTCATAGGATTTTGTAAGGAAAAAGGAATTCTTGTCACAGCATACAGTCCTCTAGCAAACCCTGGTAAGCAGGTTGCTGCAGGAAAACCAAAACTTCTTGATCACTCAGTTCTGAAAGAAACTGCGGCAAAATATAATAAAACTACTGCCCAAATTTGTCTGCGATATTTAGTAAGTTACCATTTTGCTGCTCAATGAGTTATAATATATTTTAAACTCAAACCATTAAAATTTAAATACACTTTTATTTTAATTTAAATGAACTATTTTTGCAGATTCAGATAGGAGTAAATCCCATTCCAAAATCTGCCAATAAAAATCGACTTGCTGAAAACATCAATGTTTTTGACTTCACCCTGAATGATGAGGATATGAGATTGTTGGATGATCTTAACAACAACACACGGACCTGTCCTTTCGAGATGTAAGTTAATAGATTAAATGTCTTCATGTAATTCTTAAACTTATTTCATTTTCCTAGAAAGTGTATAGGACAAGGCAAATATTCCCTATATGGCAAAAAATTCCCTTATTGTAGGGCCTTCTCTTGATCCTTACTTAGTACATAAAAATTAATTCTTATAAATTTTCAAGAGTTTTCTGAGCAACTTCTCTGTCTGGGAAAAACGAATAGGTACTTGTGAAAGTAAAAGCTTGATAAGCAAGAATCAAATGTTATAAACAGTTTTCATCTTGCAGAAATTCACTGGAAATTGGAAAATTTTAATTTTTGACACACTTAGCCGTTTTTTCTTAAGGTTGAATAATTTTTGTGTACAGGGATATTGCCATGAAATATGTGATATTAATTACACAATTTCTCAACAAAGAATTTATTATTATACCAATTTCTACTTTACCTTTACTGCACATTAGAATAGATTGTATTACTGCTCTTTTGAATTGATTCAAGATAAAAGCTAATAATAATAAATATACATCATGTGATCATTCATAATTCATTTTCAATACTCCTTAAGGATTCCTGATGCATTTGCTTCACACTACCTGTATTCTTACCCTTAGGTCTTCTTTATTCAGAACTAATAAACTGGACTTTTCTAATGCCAAAGTAAATTTAAAGAACTTTTTCCACCCTGAAAAGCAAGAACATGACTAGATCATCTGTGTAGCTCAGGATGGAAAATAATAGCTACTATGATCTAACAATTTTGATAGGATAAATAACTTTCACTGGCACATTTAGAGTACTATTCATAATTAGATTGATCCTTATAGATGTATTAATTAATAAAAATATTTCATAACAATTATTTCTTATAATTTTGCAGGGCAGTGGCTGCACCACATTATCCATTTGCAGATGAAGTTTGATGAGAAACATCTTTAGAGAGGTACATGAATCTCTAAATTTGTGGAGGAATGATCTTGAAGCTCAATAATATATTTTTAAAATTGTATCTTCGTTAATCTTTTGAAAGTGTAAGCTTTTCTTAATGATGTTAATAAAAACCTGAAATTTAAATGTGTTAAAAATGCATCCCTTTACTAAGAAATTTAGGTTTTTGATGCTTTATAAAAGTCTGCAATAAATGTGTATAAAATTGGTTATGGTATTGGTACCGTTAATAATACAATATATTTCTATCCAATTTACCTAGGCTGTTTATTAACGATATACAAATCTTGGTGCTAGAAAATAAGACTAAAGGATAGAGGAATAATTTGATAAAAGATACTTTTTAGAACCTGATCTTAAAGATTTTAAAAACCATACTTCATAGTATGCTCATCAAAGAAATAAATTACCTTAATTCTGAAAAGTGCTTAGGAGAAACAATTTAGGCTACATAAATTCACAAAAGGATCTATATTGTACTTCAATTCCAAATCGGATACTAAATAGAATTTCATGAAATGGACGTTTGTTTTGAACAATTTACTCATTACTCAAGATATAAATATCACTTTCTGAACATTCTGTTTTTGAAAAAGAAAAGATGCATTCAATAAAAAAGTGTTAAAATGCATTCAGTAATTGTGAAAATTACAATTGTATTAATACATATTAACATATTACAAAGAGATTTAAAAAATTCTAGTGGTGCTTCAGAATGGCACAAACTTTCTCATACTACATACTTTTCTAATCGCTTCCTTATGCTAGCTTTTTGGTTTTGCCCCACCCTCCTTCCAATGGTTATCTATCAGGAAATAAAAGATATTTTATCACGTGTTTAGTATATTTCCAATAGCCTACAAATCCATCAAAAGTGATTTTGAGAAAAATACATGATACAGTAACCCTCCTTGTCACAGAGTTCTATACCAAACTCATTTGAATTATTTTGAAAACATCTAAAGAAACAAAATATTGTAAGTTTGAAGAAAAAAATTATGTTTACAAAATTTTAACTGATAATTCACATGTTGAGTTTTGAAAATTACTTGACAACCTGTAGAGTTTGGAGGTTGACACACATGACTGATTAAGAAACATGCTGCGATTTTTTTTTTTTTTCCCTTCATAATAAGAAATTACACTTTAATTCTTATAAACATTTCATTGGCATTATCTTCCTTAAGAGAGAGTTATTGTATTTTATATTTTCAGTATTGTGCCATAAGTCTCCAAAGTTCTTTAATAACTAATTTATATCATTGAGTTTTCATTTCAAGACATGAGAGATACTTAAAATAATTACATGTGCAATTTTTGAAAAATCAAAAAATACATCAAAATGTTGTTTGTGTCATGTTATTAAGTGTATTTGCATACACAAAGTTTAAAGAAAAAATTGGTGCAATGTTTGAAAATATCTTGTTTATAATATTCCCCATATTTCACAAAAAACTGCTAATATTTCAAAAAATGCACATGACGTTAATTAAGGAACAAGTTGTGAACAACAAATTACATTTAAAGAAAAATATTTTCAACCTTGTAGTTGAAAGACGTCGAAAATATTGACGATTTAGTATTTTTCGAAATTTCAGATAATTTAGCATAACGCGACTTTGCATGCATTTTCGTACTATGCTAGAAGAAATGTTAACAAAAAATATGGAGCAATTTTTAGAAAACTTTGAAAATGTTGAAGCTTGATGAAAAGTACAACCTAGAATACAAATCTCTTTCAAATTCAAGATCCCGCGACGCCCGTCAGAGCATTGTCAATAGGAAATCCTGTCTACGGTTTAGGCTTTATTCACAGACACACGCTTTGCCGTAAAACATTTTTTCGTGAATGTGACTTTTGACTGCATAACAAAATAGAGAAAGTAATGTGCTAAATATTGGAACAGTATGAATCAACTGTTTCGGTAGTAAGGCCCCACAATACGAGTTTTGCAGACGAAAAATCTCGGTCCTTGGCCACATCATTACGTACTCTTTCTGTACTTCGCAACTAGCAAGGGAAGGGAGTTAATGAGCGTCACTCTCTTTTTTTTCAATATAAATTATTACCAATTGCTCATATGAACACGTATACGCTGTTATACCTCGCATTAGTTATTAAGCTTGTGTTTTCATCTCAAAAATACATTAAAACCCTCTCAAACATCGAGTTCCCAAGAAAATGCATTGGACCCCCATTACCACCACATGCGGGTAATGGGAGTCAGGATGTGGGTAATACGAGTCATTAAAGCAATATGAAGCAAAATGAACGCATTTGGTACTTCAAAGAGTATGTATTTTGATTACTATAGGAGTCTAATACATGTGAATAATTTTCTCGACACCAAGATCTTAACTTCAGAAAACATGATATCGTAGGCTTCCGCGGCCAGAGTCATGATCTGGGCTGTCCGGGTGACGCCGCATCGAAGGCTAAATGGGATACCATGAACACGTAAACGTGGCAAGAAAAGTCATTCAGGTCAATAAATTATTTCGTTTGGGGCCATGGCAGTCACGGTGCAGGTAATTCGAATCACTGACCGCCATTAACCCACCAGAATATTTTTACTCTAACTGGTCATCAAAATTTGTAGAATGTTTTAAAATTACTCGTAATTGGTAATAAAAGAGTTGCTGAAGAACCAACAAATTTTAATTCTTCCAGAAATCTCAAAGTTCACGTGAATACAACTTTATTTTCTAAGAGCCCTTTCTAACATCAACCCACTTCTCCGGTTCGAATGCGATAATCGTCCATAAAAGCTTTCTTCGGCTGCGGCGACCAACTGGCTACAGTTATCATGACGACTAATGTTTCTGCCTCTCAATATGGTATATTTACATTATTTATCGATTATTTACCGTTGACTCCCATTACCTCCGATTCCCCTACTCGAGAAAGAAAGAAAGAAAGAAAAGACGTGATTTTACTTGTAAAATCATAAACGTACTGGAATTGCTTAAAAGCAAAACCGGCGCTGATTTTGTCAGTCGAACTGTTCAATTTAGTAGATATGTGCCTCTGCGCCCCTCTCTAAACGCACTCGAGTTCGCATCCGAACGTTCAATCATTATTCGTTATCAGAAATGAAGTTACTCACGTGGCCAATCTTATCTGCTCTCATAACCCGGATAGTGCCCATGGAAAATAATTTAGTCGACTGATGTTAAATTGCAGACGTGAATGATCTGAAGATGGTTGGATCAATTACCCTCAGCAACGGACACGAATTTCCTTTGTTGGGATTAGGAACGTTTGCGGTGCGTAGTTACAGCTAAATCTATTTCTTGAATGTCTTAGATGTAATGTAAGGTGATTCATTTCGTTTTTAGACGACGATGACGGGAAGTTCATTCAGATAAATGCTAGATGTTTTTTGTCAAAAATAGTTAATGCGTTTTTGAATTGCAGTGCAACTGGAGTTGGCCTGTTTCATAGACAAATAGAACGTGTCTATAGCCTGGCTTGTATTTCGATCGCATACTCACTCGTAGTATCTATCAAGTGGGCAATTTAATCTTCTCAGGACTTAGAAGAAAGCGTGTACGGCGTGTTGAAATTCACTATACCATTAACTAAATGTTCGTCAAACGCTTCTAAGCAAATGTTATTTATACATCTATCTTCGTCTTCTGGAGCATACAGCCCAGGCCAGCAATGAAATCTTCACAAATGATTTCAGAACTTTTCCCAGAAACAAACATAATCCAGGCACGGTACAATCCTGTTCTTATAACATCAAAATGTGTCTGAAGCATAGCCTCAAACAAAAATTGTAATTTACACAAACTCTGTTTTTCATCTGGATTACAAAAGTAACAAACGTGAGGGTTAATACTACGTTCTCCGACATATTTGCGTGTATATACTTTGTTTTTTTAAAGTGGCCAATGACATTAGGCCATTTTCACACCTACTGCTTTATGAAATGAATATTTTTAATTAATTTGCGAACGTTCTTCTCAACGGGGCTCATGGCCTCACAAACGTGCTTACCAGTTAAAAAGATTATATTACAAGGCAGGAGGTGCAATGTTATCGGCCACTACAAAAGTCGAAGGATAATATGTAATACTACAATCGAACTAATTGTAGGTTCCGCTTGGGGCCTCAGAGTAAGAGGCCTCACACATTATTAAACAAAATTTCAAATTTGCTAAAAAAAAGAAAATATACAAGTTTATAATTAGTTCCGTAAAGAAATAAAAATTTCACAAACACACTATTGGAATTTAAAACATTTTTGTTCTCACGTATTATGTTTCGGACTTGGCGCATAACAATCCGTGGTGATTGGGCAATTGAAATGGATGTTTTTCTATACCCGACGTTTGGTGTATTTGAGCACATATATTGAGGTTTGAGAGACACATTGAGGTTCCCGTTCGAATTTATTTTAACTTCAATGATTACAATTTGTGCATTAGAAAATCATTTAGTATACTTAAAAGGGATAAAAACTAGAATCGAGCTACTTGGGTACAAGAGGAACACAATCGTTAACAATAATGTTAAATTAAAATTATATGCTTTAGGTTTTTATCTTTCGACGACATTACTGATTTTGTGAAAAAAATCGCATTAACAGCATTTTTAGTTAGTTTCATTTTTATTACTGAGTAACATAGAGTTGAACTACAGTTAATTTTACATAGATATGATGTTAAAGACGATTGTAAATAGTTTTTAAATTTAAAATTTGAATAAAATTATTTGAAGGCATGTTTTAATTGTTTAATTAATTTTGAGTAAAATGGGTAAAATCTCCTTCCGCAAAAATGTAATTTTTGCGAGTAGAAAAGGCACGGGGAGGGCTGGAAAATGTTTTTGCTTGGGGCCTCGAAAATGGTAAATCCGCCGCTTCTTGATTATTTGCCTTCTAATGCATTATCTGCATTATTTGTCATCTACTGTATGAGAGTAACTTAAAATGGTAAATGGTTGGCATTATCTGGAGCATTTATCACAACGTGCTGCTTTTCAACATGTATAATCTTCTATTCAGAGCAAAAGGTGAAGGTAGTTCTCGATGTATTGCACAGAAATGAAAATATGTGCCTATAATTTTAAGACAATAGTCTCAGACAACAGTTTCCATTCACTTTGCCACATCATCTTAGAAATATATTTTCACTATATTTTTTGAAACCTGGATAGTATTTTCTGAATATCTATATCTGCGTGGCTGAAAAGGAAGCGGAAATTCAACTTCATTTTTGAATATACATTTTATATTACCGCATTATAACTCCATACAAAATAGAGTGTGTCTTTATAATATTATGTACTTTTCAGTTTCATTAAATGTTCAGAACAACCCACATTGCTTATAAAACATTGTCACCAACAGTCGCAAATCTTTTCACGTGAATGTTATCTAGGCTCAGACTTCTCATGTTTCCGTAACTTACGTGAATTGAATTTACAGTATCGAGAGAGAGAGAGGGCGTTTGCGATAACACGTGATGAAGCGTGGGCTCATTGCTTGTGAACGTGGGCTGATTACGCTCAGTTTTCCGTTTATTGTCTCCTTATCATTATCCTCTGTGCATTGATATGCGTTTTTGTTATAGCATCTAAGATTTCGCTCCTGCCTCGTAAAGTACTAATAGAAAGCACAAAACTGGCAATTGAAATGTGAAAAAAAAACAACTAATTTACATTTTAGTTTAAATTTTGCTTTATTTTTAATTTCTTATTAACGAACTACAAATTCAATCTCTTTGGTGTGTGTCAAACAGATTTTCGATTCGACAGAAAGAGGTACTGCGCTATTTAACACTATATCTACTTTTGCTGTTTTTCTCTCAAAGGCTCTTCTGCTATCACAAATGTCATTGCCTACACTTGCCATTGCCCTAACTCGTACCCAGGAGAAGCGGTAAAGCATTCTCCAAAATAAAATAAATATTTTTAAAATGCGATAACATCTACTACAACCAACCAACTAAATTTTATTTTATTTAACCTTTTCTCTTCCATTAGGGGTTCCCAAACATTAATTCTGAATACTGTCAAGAGACAGCAAATTTTGTGAATATACATGCATTAAGGAAAACAAATTATTCAATATACATCACCTGAATCATATATTTAAAAACAATTGCATTCTCAACTGGGTTATCTGTTTTCTATTTCTTCAGCTCTATTCTCACACCCCTTTGTTTGAAGATGACATTTCAACTTCGATTTGGCGGCTCTTGACCTGTGTTTGTTTTAAAGAAACAGTAGATAATACAATCAATCGTACATAACAGTTGATCTGAAACGTTGGCGTTCAAGCATTGCAAAAAGCATGATGCCTTTTAAAAGGCATGAACAACAATCAAGGGAACTTCTAACACTGTAAAGAAAAGACAAGCAAAATGTCGAGATTGCTAGAGACAGTACTTAACAGAAATAACACCAATGTTTTATGGTAGATAAAAACTCAGCTATTGGAATCATAATTGATAAAATTGGCGCCATACATTCCCACCACATTAGGAGCTGCTTAGGACGGTGCTGCCGCATTCGGAAATATGACGAACTAATAAAGGATTCTCGTGCGTCCCGCGGAATATTGGCACAGCGCCACGCTACGGCCATGATTCAAGAGAGGGAGGAGGGAGAGCAAGGCTGACGATTTCAAAATAAGCGAACCGTGTAAATATGTTTGAAAGATAGACACTAAAAAGACGTAATAATACCTACGAGTCATGTACGTTATTTCAGAAAACCAGAGATACTTAGAAAGTACAGCAAGGAATTAAGAGGGAACCCTTGATCCGGAAGACTTCATTTACTCATTGAAAGTAGTTACTATTTAATTATAATGATAATTGATTATTATTATTATTTATTTCTATTTGTGAAGTAAACATAATGAACAGAACTTAGGAAATATATTTTAGGTTGGAATCTCGGTATTGAGCGTTTTACTTCACTTTACGTTTATTCACCTGTGTTAATTTATCGAAACGTTTGACAGAAAACGCTCGCAGAGAGTAAGAATTCGAGGAACAAATTATTATTGTGTTTTTAACAATGGGACTTTTTTTCTCTGGAAAATAACGAAGAGCCGGCAGTTCTATACATAGTCAGCAGATTAAGGGACAACCATTCAGTTACATGTTCTTGACCTAGCTAACAAATATGGAATTTTGTTAGGTTATTTTATTGTTGACATTTAATTTTGCCTTAAGCGAAATATTTTTCTTTTTGAAAGTGCGACTTCCCATGGTTAAGAGGCGGTATCGCTACTCTAGAAGGTAATCTCGAATTGACTAGCCAACTCCGGGAGTAGCGTACGGCTGAAGTTAGGCATTGAAGACGCCGGATGGGTAGGCAATTAGACATTCACGAACGCCTAGAGCGTTGCATTAGCAAGCGTATCTTCGTTTCTACAAGCAGGTAGTGTTAGGTTTCCATCAAATCCCAGGCAAGTGAGCGTTCAGACTGACAGGAGTATTCTCCAATTGATCCATTGCGCATGATCAGGGAACTAACAGGTAGATCGATGTAACTTGCAATTGGCTGCGATGGCACCTAATTACAAAAAACAAAATACTAAATATACTGCATTTATCATTCTGCACGTTCAACGCAGATCAAAATAATGAAACGTTATTTAACCTCACCTAAAACCATTATTTCCTGGCTAATTTAAAGAATTCGTATTTTTTAAACTTCATACACCGAGAGAAAGGATTTTTGACAAATTGCTGCATGCAGTACTCAAAGGTCAGTCTCCTTATTGTGAAATAAACGTTTGTCTTGAATTGTTGAAAAAAACTGACTGGAAATTAATTTTGGAATTAAAACTTTTGGATAGGAAAAATAGCACGAGTCTAAAGTTCACTAGAGGTGTTATATAATGGCAGACTTTCAAATACTAGTTAGTTTTCTATTCTCTTCGACGTCGACAAGGCCACCAGGGTGTCTCGTGGTACGTATCAGTACTCTTCGAAGTTGTGAAGAACCTTTGCACACCACGATCATCGCGTCATCTATATCAGTCCTGAACCTTTAAATATTGGCCCATTCCTTGGCCCTATCTCAGATTGGGAGATAGACATTTATTATTTCTGCAGGTAGGTTTATGCAACCTGGTGGCAGAACACTACAATCTACATATTACAATCGGGAATATTACTGCAATTGTCTCCTATATTACGGTATTTCAGTAATATGCATACCTATTGCGGCTCTCACGCGCAAACAATCTTTATGACTGAGGTCTAAAGAAAGAGCATTTCACAGAGACATGACGAATTGCATTTTGACTGTAAAAATATGCCGGATTTGATTTTTTTAAAAATCCATGTCAAATGCAACCCGCAGCACTCAGTCAACCATATCGTTAAATAAACCTAAACAAAGTGTTTTAGGGAATAGTAAACTAAAATTTTGAGCCCAAAGGTCTCAAAGAAACGTTTCTTACACGTAATCTACAGAAAAAATATTCTTGGACATTATATAAAATTTTTGCTGGTTCGGTACTTATCGATACTATCAATGCTACTTATATTTCAACCATTAGTGATGGTGGCATTTTTGTGGCGACGCGCTTAGAAAGTTTAGATTCCCTTATCTTATACTTTTTACGCTTTTTGCGTACATCTTTGTTTGAGCAGACTGACGAGGTTTGTTTGCATAATTGTTAATTCAAGATTCGCTCTCGCAGCAACAACTAGAAGTACTATTAATATTGGCTTGATTCCGATGATGATTGTTTCTTATGCGAGTTGTGAAAACATTCATTAAACGTTTTGTAGAGGTCTACAAGTGTTGTGTACCTAATTGTGGAGGGATGTGGGTGTACAGTGAAGAATGAAGACGTGTCTTGGTAGGTTTGGTTTGTGTTAGCCACAGTTGTTCATCAGACACGGATGTTTTGGTTTTTTGTTTTGTGAAAAAACATATATCATCACCAGGGCCTAAAATATATACCCTTACATCCTGACCGTGTATTCATTATACTTGCATACATGCTCGTTAATATTTATGTTCAGAGCAAAAGATTTCTGCATGTAATGTGTATTATATTAAAGGACTTATATTATAAAGTTCATAGGAATGTTCAACATCTTCATTGCGTCTCATTATATTGCATTTTAAAATCTTCCGTAGTTTTATTTATTCATTTGGTGCGTTCACAGGCTAGAAATGAGGAAGCAATTCAGGTGGTGAAAGATGCGATTGATTTGGGATATCGTCATATAGATACTGCTGCTGTCTATGAGAATGAAAAAGATGTAGGAATAGCAATTGAAGCAAAACTTCAAGAAGGGGTCATCACACGTGAAGACATCTTCGTAACTAGTAAGGTAAATCTATTTGATTTGGTTCGAGCTTTGTAAACAATTTCATAATTCCGGAAACAATAAATTATAATATTTTTAGGGAGAAAATCTATGCTCTTGGCGTAAAAAGAAGTACATTCAAATTACAAATACTTACATTACAAAAATGCATTAGTCAATTGAAGTTACGGATTTTAGATCCTCAATTAACTTAAAGTGTGTTATTAATTTTGGAGCTGTAATTATATTTTAGTTGTGGTGCACTACCACTAGAAGAGATTTGGTAATTCCTGCTTTGAAGAAAACTCTTTCAGATCTAAAACTGGAATATTTAGATCTCTATCTTATGCACTGGCCTATGTCATTTAAGGTAAAAATTAATGAATAAATAAATTAAATGTATGTAAAATACATTATGCATGGCATATATTTCCCAGAACCTTGAAATATGACAGAGGTTTGTTGGATATGTTTTATGAAACGAAGTTAACTACTGTTTCAGGAAGGGACTGGTAGTTTTATTCCGCAAGATCCTGATGGCAAAGTTTTGAGTATTGACAGAGATTATGTTGACACGTGGAAAGAACTGGAGAAATGTGCTGAATTAGGTCTTACAAAGAGTATTGGAGTTGCTAATTTCAATACTCAACAGTTATCTAGAGTAATTAAGAATGCTACTATTAAACCTGTGATAAATCAGGTAACGCAGTTGTTAATAATACACAAACTGTAGATTTCATGAATTTTATTGCATCACTTTGCAGATGATAAACATTGTATGTAAAAATTAAAATGCATTCATGATTAAAATATTTTTATAAAATAAACACAAAAATGTACTGAACTGATGTTTGACATTTAACATATTTTATTCTATTTGCAATATGTTAAATTGCTTATTTTGACAATAGTGAAATATTTCATCCAGAAATAGTGTTTTCATTATCAATAAATAATAATAAATTAGGTAATATACACAAATAAAATGTCTCTTCCGAAAGTTATATACAGTAAACCAATAAATAATAATCCATTTAAAAATCAGGCTTTATTATCTGACCTTGTATGGTTTGTATTGTAGATCGAATGTCATCCTTTTTTGAATCAGAAGCATTTAATTACATTTTGCAAAGAAAATGGCATTCTGATAACTGCTTTCAGTCCTCTAGCAAATCCTGGGAAACAAGTGGTAGCAGGAAAACCAAAACTAATTGATCATCCTCTTCTGAAAGAAATAGGAACAAAATATAATAAAACTAATGCCCAAATTGCTCTGCGATATTTGGTAAGTTTCTGCTTTAATGTATAAAAATATTTATATATTTTACCTAATTGCAGAAAAATTAAAAGTTATTCTCTTTGCAGATTCAATTAGGAGTGAATCCCATTCCCAAATCATCCAATAAGCTTCGTCTTGCAGAAAACATAAATATTTTTGATTTTGAATTAAATGATGAAGATATGAAACTGTTAGATGGCCTAAACACTAACACTAGAACGTGTCTTTTGGACAAGTAAGTGATTAATACATAATACATATTGTATGCATAAACCGGTAGTGGTAGCTCAGTGCATCAATTGATGTCCCTGCAGTGCCTCTGACCGGGAGGTCCTAGGTTCGGATACTGACAGTGCCAAGATTTTCAACACTAGCTTGTCAGCCAGGTCGAATTCAATTCTAACAACCGGCTGCTCTGATCGGTAGTTCTCCGTGGTTTCTCCGATCAACTACAGGCGATTGCCGGAACAGTATCCAAACAAACGCCCAGCGCGCGGTCTTTCCTTCCTCTTCCTCGTCCTATCCTCACCCCTACTTACTTACACACTCTCCAACATGCCGGAAGACCTGTCGGGAGAGTGCCTTAGAGCTTGTCCCGGCTGGAGCTCCGCCCCGCAGGTGGGGAAACCTCGCTAGCCCACGGTAGGTCGGCGCCGGATCTCGCCATCCAGCGGGGGACGACACCGCCACCGCCCGAGGCGAACATGCACTACACTTAGTGGACGTACCCGGAATAACTAGCAACCAACCGGCCTTGTATGCACAAAATGCATTACATGTACATAATATTAATATGCGCATGTAAAGTATATAATGTGATCATACAGGTGAATGTACTTTTTCAATAAAGCAAGGTTCATCACAAACATTTTTACTTTCTACATAACCTGTCAGTTTATTATTATATTAGAATGTCTTCTAAGTCAAATTATTTTTAAAAGGGTTTATTTGTTTTCAGTTTTATGTTGATATTTTCTGAACTCCGCAGGTCTATTGGTGCATATCATTATCCATTTGCTGATGAATTGTGAAAAGAGCAACATTCAAGAAATGTGTAAAAAACACCCAAAATTATCTAATTACAGGATTTTTTATTATTATAAAAAGTTATAACTTGTTAAAAAGTTATAACTTATCGTTAAAATGAATTCATTTTTAATTTGTTGACTGTAATAATATTATTACTACAATAATATTACTACTACATGTATTAAAATTTCATGTTTAATGTATGCCAGTCTTGAAGATTTTTTTTCGGAACACTTAATAGATAGTAAAACTTAATCAATTCATGTAAAATGTTAAAAATAAGTTTAATAAAAGTCTACCTTCAAACATTACTTATGTAATTGTATGTTTATTGTCCGTGTCCATGCACGTGGCTCTGGCTTTAATTTCCAGTGGCTCCCTGGTTTTTGTAACAGTTACACATTGAGACGATTTATGGTTATAGAATTCTTACAAAACAAAACAAAAAATAACTTGGTTTCGAAACTGCAGTAATTGCATTCCAGCACTCTGGAACAAGCGCTATTGTTCCGAAACGTTTTCCACAAATACAATTATTTTACTTCGGAAATTTCACTACCCTGGTATATTTTGTAATAATGAATGATTTTCAACTTTAACTCGTATTCACAATAACGCTCTCAGACTGTAACTTAGCTGTAACCCCAGCTGAAAATTTGCAACCACCGTGAGAGACACAAAAGGGCTGCCATTTAGAAGAGCCAACTTGACACAAGGAACTCTTTGTATATCAGGCGGTTGTGCAACGTAAGCAGAAGCCACCACTGTTGAAACGAATAGTTTGATTTTTGAGAGTACTTTGCATCTAGCCATAGTATTTTCATTTTTTTTATTTAAATCGAAATTTTGTGCTTAAACTTTGTCCTGGGATAGCATAATGTCACGTTTTCGATAAAATCCCTAGTATTATGAAAATTGCAGAAGTGCAATTTTTCAGCGCCTTCCTACAACTACAATATTGAAGACATAATTTTTTATTAATAAATATATTCTTCAAAGACAGATCTTGAAATAAGATCATATAACATTTTTGGAAATTTTGAGTAGCTTTTGCGTGAAATATAGTGGTGAGCCAGAAAATCCAGGTTTAATTTAAATAGTAAAAACAGCATCAAGTGGGAGTAATACGATTCAATTGTATGCAGGATTGGGAAGCAAAGAATATACGTTGTTAGGACAACCAATGAACTAGGTGTAGTATTCTATTCTTGGTGTCGTAGGTTAATTTGCGGAGGCACGGCCCGTATCAAAGGACAGTAGAAAATATGCTTCTAGTCCCATTTCCGGCAATCTCTCTGTTCTATCGAAAATGGCAAAAAGTTAATATTTCAAAGCTACAAAATTGAAGAGACATTTTTGCCCTAAAAAATCTGTTCTAAAAAGTAAATCTTTAAAAAATATCATGTACAATTTTTTTAAAAACGAGTAGTTTTTACGTAATTACTAGTTGAAATTAATGCAAATTATAAAAATGAACATTTTCTCAAAACTGCTTTTTTCTTTCAATTTTTTCATATATACAACAAGGGACGCTTAAAAGAATAGTGTAGGTCGATTTTTCGTTGCTCTCTCTGAATTGTATACAATTGCACTTCAGAAATATTGGGTTGAGACAATTAGATTTCTAAGCATCGGCCCGAGTTTGAACGCCAGATCGTTTCCATAGCGCATGTCGAGTTAACCGGAGGTTCTGAGATCGAGTCACGATGCAGAGAAAATATCACTGGTTGAAAACACTTTTGCAGGCTCATGTAGTAGTATAATACAGTGGGGCAGTTAGAAATAATGCGAGAATGTATATGCTGTTGGAACATCACTACTTAAGTTAATTTTATGCTATGTACAATTGTTTTGAAAACATTAATAGTTATCGCTTAAATTAGAATGAAATATGGTAATACTATAAATTAGATTTTGTTTAAAATGTTCGAAATTTTATTTTTTTATCGTTGGTGTGGACGCGATTATGGTGGCATTATTAAAAAAATTAAAGAAAGAAGAATTGAAAAGTTTTCGGTAAAACAAAAACCCAAAAGTTTTCGGTAAAAATTAAAAAAAAATCCACATTTTTAGAAACGCTCAAAAGTCTAGAAAACAGCTCCAAATTTTTCTTCAAACTTTTTGTACGAATAGTGCTCAATTGCCAAAATAACATAGCATAAATGCCACATGGATGTATTCTTTTGCTTTTTCGAGAATTAAAAGAAATGTTTTTTAAATATCTCTGTCAATATTTACTTTACCGATATTTCTTATTCACTTTCGCATTTGTGAGTACGATTTCTTCAAATAATTTCTGGCGAAGTTTCTCGAAAACTCTTACCTTTTTGAATCTTGGGTGAATTTGTGAACTTTAAATGTAAATTCTGAGAAATTCTCAAAAAACATTTTCTTAAAAATGGTTCCAAATTTTCGAGAGCCCGAGAAATTAAAAAAAGGTAAAAAAAAGGAGTTTAACGCATGAAGTCGATAGTTTTAAATAACACTAAATGTGGCTACTCGCATTAAACCGTTCCTGAATTGTAGGATGTTATGATGAATGAAAATAATAAATTTCAAACTAATGTATTAAAAAGTCTGAACTAAAAAATGTAGCTTTATTTTATTATAATTAGTAATAGTATTAAGTTTTAAAGGGGTCTAAATTTCTTTCGAAAAATTTGATTTAATTGTGAGAGGAAAGTATAAGGATGGTCTTAATTTAATATGGAAACCTGTTAAAGAATTTAAATTTTCAGTAAGTAGCTTTAATGGTTTTCCGTGATTTCTCTTGGTAATTTCGTGTTTCCGGGTACGTCAACTGCTTTGACTATTGCTCCGGTAAGTGCAGTGCATGTTTTATCACGGAAGGTCGAGGTGGATGGTGAGATCCGGGGATTTTCCCCAACCAGGTATCTCCCATCACCGGGCAACCGCTAAGCTCCGGACATGCGGAGTGGTGTAGAGCGCGCGAGTGGACACAGAAGGAGCAAAGATGTGTCGTTCCGTGGTCCGTTTGGTAGGGCACTGCTCCTGCATTCGCCTGGTGTTGATCGGCGAAATCACAGAGGCCTGACGATCAGAGCATCCGGCTGCTAGAATTCTCCTCCACACGCTTGAATTTGAGCCAGGTATATAGTGGCGCCGACAACCCGTTCCAGGGTAGACTCGAGACACCGGCAGCGCTGGTTCTGAGCGCAACAGTGCTCACTTGGTGCGGAACCCTGGGGCAGTGTAAGCCGCGAAGCCGCAAAGGCCGTCGCCCGAGCGCCTGCTGCGCCTGCCGCGTGAGTCAGCCGCGCGCCGCGCCGGCGCTGACTCACAGCGCGGTCAGCACCCGCCCCCGCGTCATAACACTACGCTCTTACGGGGTAACATTGAATGGATTTATACGAATATTTGTTGATTTTACTCCTGAAATAATAATATTGTCGTGGAAGGGAAAAAACGATATCGTTTTGTGATATCAAATCTTTCAAATAATTATTTCGTACCTGTCTCTTATCTTGTTATATTGTTCTTCGGAATGCATGTGTATCCACGTGTATGAAAAGCGTATTCAATTCCTACGCAGGCGATCACGGTGGTGGTTTGCTTTTGCATTCTACTGCATGTTGGAAGGTAGGGTAACCACGAACGTTTGATAATGATAAATGAATAATTACGGTTATAATCAAGGTCAGACGACATGTATTGATTCAGAAAGACAAAGAAATACGATGACTTGGTGAAAACATTTAGTAATACGCAATCCGCGGACCTAAACCGTCGAACCTCAAGCTTCCGAGTCTGTACCTCCAAGCGGCTGAGTTGGCTCAGAGCATCAACTGATGTATGATGTATGTATGATAAATGTAACTTCAAATTAACTTATATAATATAATATAAATTAATTAAATTAACTTATATTATAACTAAAATAAATGAATAAATAAATAAAAATGCCACTGCAGTGTCTCTGGCTGGAATGTCCTAGCGTAGGAGTTCCAAGGTTGACAGGTCAAAGCTAGATAGCTAGGTCGAAGGCCGCCAGGAGGAGAATTCTAGCAGCTCCTCTGAACAGCAGCTTTCAGAGGTTTCTCTCGTCAACACCTGGGGAATGCCGGAGCAGTTTCCTTCCTATTCCTTGCCTCCCCTTACCTACATACACTTGCCCTTCCGTGCTACCCTACACCACAAGTGGGAGGCACTTGTGTCGGAGCTTGTCGCGGCTGCACCGTCAAGCAGGCTGGCAATGCGTCCATCTCCGCGAGAAATACCTGCATTGCACTTACGGGAATAAAGACCCTTACACTTGGAAACACGAAATAATCATTCCAAGCTCTCCCGCTTCCGAGGCCGGAAGTGCATCTCAGCTGCTCTCAGAGAGTGTTCTACGGCAAAGCGATGTGTCGTGACCATTACGTGGGTGAGCCGCGAAAATAATTTAACGCCGAAAATATGAACACATTAAACTTTAATTCTTTAAGACCCCACAATTTTACACCGAACAGACCAATTAAATTGTTCGGTCAATAATTACATGTGTGTAATTTAATTAGGTGTGTGGGTTTACTTACATTTGCACGATTAAGGTGGAATGCAGACAAACACATCTGCAACTCTTCGCAGTAACACAAGATATTCGCTGACATATTTTTTATATTACTATTAATCGAATGCTGGAAATCCTTCTTCGCGCATGCAGGTCGCAGGAAACAAATAGTATAGGTTGAAATAGTTTGAAATAGTACAAATAGTTTGAAAGTTTGAAGTCCTAATGCAGAAGGGATGGCTTTACTGGCGCAATACAATCTTGCCGCAATGTTCTCCTCAAAGAAAGAACGCGCCGCTAGTTAGAACTTCACTACAAACTGATTGAACACTGGAGTATCAAATTGATGAACTGATTAACCACATTAACTAACTACTTGAACACTGGTGTATCAATTGTGATTTAACTTTTTCGAAAAAGATTAGAGGAGTACTTCAAATCTGGTGGATATGTTCCTGTAATTATTAATCGGTATTTGATTTCCGTTGT